GTTTTGTTTGTAGTTTAAACCAAGTTGTTATGTTAAACATGCCTTAATGTAACAGAAGTTCACATGACATGAGTAATTTAATGCTGCCATGCAAGTTTCACAGTTTCATTGAGTCGCACACAAACATAATCGGTGAAAATCACGAAAATGAACATTATGCAAATTCAAACAATCACTGCGGGCTGTCAACGCAAACAAGAGCCGAAAAGCTGTCCACTAACGCAGGCAATGTTCAAGTTACTTGCACGGTATCTTGATAAGTATTTTTTTTATATACGATATTTGACTAGAAAATCATTTGCAGTACAATCGCAGTAACACTTAGAAATTTTCATACGGCAAGCAAGTTGAAATTTGAGTTTGCTGGAACCGGAAAGAGCTAGAAATATCATTTCACGCTCGCAGGCTGCGTTCTCTAAATTTGGTTGATTCATACACGTGTTGTTTTTCTATGCAACGAATGCTATAGAATTGTGATTCAAGACTTCAACTCCAGACTAACAATTTGGACGTTAAGATGAAATACATAATAAAAGAATAACGGAAGCCGCACGACGCGTGGTATTGTTTATTTCTATTGTTACGAATTCGAGATGTAAATCGCTTTCTCGAAAAATTCTTCAAGCATCTCGAAACTTGATACTCGAAACTCGAAACTCGAAACTCAAGCCTTGAAACTTGATTCTCGATTCTCAACTTACATTTGACTGGTACTGTAATACTCACACTGGAAAATGTAATTTCAGATTATCGACTAAACCTGTACTATGTCAGTTTTCTATAACGAAAAGCTTCACAGAACTTACCTTCACATTCACTTCTTTCGCTTCTTACTCTTTTGCTTAAAAAGTTCACCAAAGAAGACTGTTGTTTAGCCATTCCTTTCAAACTTGCACAAAACACGAATTTTCTCTCAAGAACCAGGCAAAAATGTGTTTGTTTCATACGTCTGGTTGTTTAAACACCATTGCGACAGTGGCGGGACATCGGCTAGCGTAAAAATGTAATGCATTTTTTGTGAATGACATTAAAAGGTCTTAAAAGGAATTTATTTTCAAAGTCAACATCTTTACAAATTTTAGTGTTTACCTTTCGCAAGGATGTAAAGGTAAAATACATTTCGAAACTGCACACTTCGATGCTGATGAAAACAGTATCTTCACCAAGCGCACTGAGTATTTTTTCTCCCGTGAAATGATTACGTGACGTTGTTTGTGATTTAACCTGATAATGCACAAAAGATAAAACCAAGTTGTCGATGATAGTCTTTAAAATACCGACAGTTTTGAATTACACCTTGAACTCTGGCCAAGTAATTTAAAATATAGTGTTGCAAAATGAATCAACGTCACTTTCAAAACTGTGAAATACGAAAACTTTGCGGGCTATCAAATTTTGATAATTAGATAACAAACATTAACAGCGTCGTGTCCAGCGAAAGACGGAATCTGAATATATAAGTTTGATCGCAAATTGGCACTGCTAACTAGAGGTTTGTTTTAAGAGAACATAACTGCAGATCCAGCTAATTTAACAAGCAGAAAAGAGAATGTAAACAAACCAGATGTAAATTTATTCATAGCCACCTTATTTGCATTTTGTACATCACAGCGTGCGCGAGCGAAGTGAGCAGAAAGTTCTTCTGTAAATTGCTCATTACAAAATACATCCAATCCATGAGTGAAACAATAAATAATTTTAACCCGCTCTTTTTTTCCTCTATTTTTAATTGTTATTGAAATCAGCCATTTTTTCTCGCTTATCCCCGCCAATTTGCAGCCAGCGAAAACCTCCAAGTAGACAGCGATTTCGCAGGTCGCCGGCGCGTTTTGACATCCCTGAGGAAGTGTTTGCTATCAGGTGGTTTTCATTCTATGGTGCCCTGGAGACACTGTACCACACTTGGCTGTCTCTTGTGGCCTACCTGGAATCATGTCCCAACAGTGATGATAAAGCCTGTGGATTCAAAAGCAACCTAAAGAGTTCAATTGTCGAGTTGTCACCCTCTACATGATGATGGATGTGATTCCTAGTCTCACATTCATGAGCCTTGCTTTGCAAAAGGAACAGCTGAGTCGAAAGTAAATTTCTCCATGTTTGAACTGCGATGATGCCTAAACAAAACAGGCAACAGTAATCAAATAGCAATGCCAAGCAGTGCCTAAACTAAACTGAACAGGCGATAGTTATCAGGTGGAAATGCCACGCCATGCCTAAACTGAACAAGCAAACAATTATGCCACATCAAACCTATTAAAGTTAAATGGGTAAATATAATCACATAGAAATCCATGCCACATGTAAACTAAACTGGCAACTGGACAGTAATCAAATAGCAATGCCATGCCGTGCCTAAACTATAAACAGAAACAAGCACCTGCTTCTCCTCAAGATGCCAATGCAGGAGGCAATTTTTTTGGAAATAGGTTCGATATGTATGTTCCAAGTTAAGTTTTCATCTGTATATACTCCAAGAGATTTTGTAAATTCTACTTGTTTAATAGAATTACTGTCGATAGTAAAAGACGGGAGTCTATTCATTTATATTTGTATAGAGTGATCATTTATATAGAGTGTAAAGAGGAGAGGTCCAAGGATTGTACCTTGAGGACTACCACAAGTTAAAGGTTGGCTATTTGAGAGAGAGCCATTTACAAAGCATTTCTGTGTACGATTATCCAAGTAGGATTTAAACCAGTTAGACGAGTTGCTTCTGACACCATAGGCTTTTAATTTAGATAGCAGTATAGAGTGATTGCTGGTGTCAAAAGCTCTCTTCAGATGTAGAAAAATTACTGCATTAACATTACCTTTATCGATATTGAAAGCCCAAGTATCAGTGGCTTCAAGTAAGGCAGTAGCAGTGGAGTGAAGTGAACGAAACCTTGACTGATTACAGGAAATTAGATTATTCTCAGTTAAATATTCGATTCTCTCAGAGACCTTAGCTACAACAGGAATGATAGAAATAGGGCAGTAGTTATTTAAATCGGAACATTCTCCCTGTTTAAATAAAGGAATTACTTTTGTGGACTTGCATTCAGTAGGAAAAACACCGGATACAATAGACTTATTGAAAATGGCACAAAGAGAACTTGCAACCAGATCAGCACACTCGCGAAGAAGTCGTGCCCAGATTTTATTTAGTCCCGTCGCTTTAGATTTACAAAGTTTAGATAATAAAGAAAAAACTGTTGAACAGTCAGTGTTTTTGAGTTCGAATCTATGTTCGGTCTCCTTAACATAATCTAGGTAAGACAGAGTGTCTCCTTTCTGTTGGATGGCATTGATAAGTTTCTGTCCAATACTAGAAAAATGATCATTAAAAGCAGACGAAAGTTCCAGCGGATCGCTAATGCTACTGTTATCCAGTTTAATCTCTTTAACAGAAGAGCTGTGGATTTTCCTCGAAGTAAGTTCATTAATTATTCGCCAAGTCATATGGGAATTACCTTCGTTTTCACACAACGCATTTTTGAAGAATTTTTCCTTGGCTTGTTTGATTTCACTGTTTACAGCGTTGTGACATTTTTTAAATATCATCCAGTCACATGCATTTCCAGAACGAATGGCCTTCACTTTGAGAACATCTTTATAATGCATTCTTTTCTTCGACTGAGGTGTGATCCAGGGTGATTTAGATGCCCGAATGCATTTTGTACGCAGTGGGGCATGCTTATCAACGCATTGAAAAATAGATTTTTCCAAATGTCCCACTTTGTTTGGGTCATCATAACTGTTTACCCTGTCCCAATCTTGTGTTAAAATATCATAGCGAAACCTGGCGGAGTCAAAATTGCTGAATTTCCTATAAGTTAATGTAGAGTGGCCTTTAGGTGAATTGATGGAGATCTTACGGAATACACAGATGAGACTATGGTCACTTACGCTTACATGGGACACACCAGCGGAAACAATATTATTCTGACAATTTGTAAAAATAACATCAATCAGAGTAGTAGATGTGTGAGTAATGTGAGTTGGACTATCTATTAGTTGGTGAAGATTATTATTATTATTTTTTTTTTTTTTTTTTTTTTTTTT